AAAGAAATGGCATACCTGAATGAGAAATAATAGCTATCGGGGAGCATTTAAACTCTTTAATTACTTCCGGTGTATTTAACATTCAATGGAGATGGGGCTTCTAAGTACCAGCAGGATTTTGATGTTTTGACCTTCAATAATATGATCAAAATCACTCTTTTACTATAGCATGATTAAAATTAGTAGCATTCTCAATTTGAAGAATCATAAATTTGACCATTAGTGTGATGCATTGAAATTTTCATGATTGATGATTTGATTTGCTTGATAAGATAATTATAATTTTGACGTGTGGAGGGTTTTGATGATATTTTACATCAATTGGATGATTTTTATTGGTTAAATATTTGTTTGGATAAAATTATAATTTTATTTAGGTGTTTACTAATTCTTGATGAATGATTAAATCATCATTTAAATTGATTAAACATAATCCCCACATTGTTCTCATGTTGTCGATCAAATCAACGGCGTGATCTTGAGTTTGAAAATTGTATAAAATTGTATTGCTCGAATAAAATTGGTAGGAGAATCGTCAGAAGTGTATGTATTCCTAGTAATTGGGTTTAGCAGTTGGTAATTTTGATAGGAGATTTTTGTTCTTTGGAGATATTAGAAAGGAGCACACTCCTTGACTTAGGATTTATTCGGGGCACTTTTTTTAATGCTTTACTTTTTAGATATTTGCAATTCTTTTGTTTCGTTACAACTTCTTTTTGGTTGATTTTATGTGACAAGAAGCACTCTTTTTGTAATTAAATATTTTAGAGTGTGGTGGCTACAAAGGAAAGTTATCAAACTTTCTTAAAAGTGCAAAAGTGTATGATAAGTTCTAAAAAATCCACTATAGTTTTTACTGCATGCCTACAATGACCAGTATTCATAGATGGGCTCATCTCAAGCTTGGATTTGTTCAAGCTTGCAAACTACGCGTGCTTGTACTTACCCTTTGGTAAAAATTCGGGTATTTACATACATAGTGCCCAATTTCTATGTATTTATATATCTAACAGCTAAACTTTTACTTTTTACATCTATACCGTCCAAATCATCCATACCACATTAAAAATACCACTATTTTAACTAATAAAACGTGAAATGGACCTTTCCATGCATGGATAAGGCGTCATATATGTAAGCATTGAAGAAAAACACACTAAAATTTTAGGCAGATTAATCCAATTGATATTTACGTCTTGTTGCCATCGCTGCATATTTTGTTATGAATTATGGAGAATTACAATCATAATTCCTCTTGTACTTCAGATGGGTCTCCCACCATTTTATAAAGACAAAATATTGGATAATTGAAAGAAGACAACAAAAATTTTCAAAATTTTCTTCATGAAATAACTGTAGTTATTGAATTATAGTAGGAGGATTTCGATCTCTGCTTTGCTGCCAACCTCTTCGGTCATTAGTCACTTTAATGCAAAAGAGGACCTGCTGCGGTTACAATTTGTGTATCACGATTTTTTTCGTTAGGAAAATTAACTTAACAATTTAACACGAGATGTTTCATAGTTTTCAATGAGCATTTATTGTCATCTTTATGCATTTTTTGAATCATGATTGATAATGGTTCGAAGAACAAGCGTTGCTAATTTTTATAAGGAAAAATGGATAATGATTGCTAATTTTTATATAAAACAACGAGAGCCTGGCTAAAGCTTTTCTAGCTATGTTACAATTCTTGTCCAAGTTTATTTTTTTTTTGGGAACTGTACGTAAAAGATGTATCAGTGCTGATTATGAGGAGATCTAATGGTTCAAAAGGGATGAGTATGATGTAGGTGGGCTCACCGCCTGATCATGAAGCCTACTTTTCTGACCAAGTTAATTTGTCGAGTAACAAGACCAAAACCGATCGAGCCATGAAGCAGACAAAAAGAAGACTAGACGACTTTAGCCCGAACCAATTGGTCAGATGCAAGGTGAAAGAACATTCAAGACGACCTTTACAAGAAAGCCGACCTGACACAATAGCTAGCTCTCTTGTGGAATTGATCCAAGGAAAGATCCGGTTCCACAACATCTTTGACCATCTAAGGGATGCCCCAGAATTTCTCATCAAATACCAAGCGTTGACAACCAGACCGTATCAGCTGAACAAGTCAGAAGGTAGTCGGACAACATACATACACATGTAAAATACTAGAAATACGCTAGTACGAAACCCTTTAAAGCAACAATAAAAATGTAATATCATTAAGTACCATCTCCTCTATAAATAGGAGAATCATTTTATGAATAAAACATGATTCATCACAACACATTACTATTCATTCCCTTTTTCTATTTCTCTCTCTTTCTCTCCCTTATGCTCTACTCTTTAGGTGTGATTCAATGATAAATCAAGATTCAACATTCTACAATGTGCAGTGAGCGTGGATCATGCCACAAAAAAAGAGAAGCAATCTAAAGAGAAGAATCTTATTATAGAGACACTGATAATATGAAGTGCACCAGAGAATTTATGACTTATCAGATCAAAGAGTTGAAGGATCATATGTTGGATGACATCCAAGATGCGTTGGCCCAAGGAAAAGACCAATAGCCCCAAGACGAAGTTCTAATGTCCAACATCAGAAGAGTCCCCTCTCCGCCCCACCCCCCGGGCCTTCGAAGGGGAAGGTCTCCTAGTACTTTGATACTGTTGGGTCTGCACTGATTGATTGGTATCGAATCGGGCGTACTAAGGCGCCTTGACAACCCGAGGATGTGTTTTCTCGATAAATTTTTGAGGCTGAGCCACCAGAACGATTCAAGATCTCGACATTGGAGTTCTACAAAGGGTAGAACGATCCGACCAACCACAACCTAGTTCGAGTTGACCATGTGCCTGCTAAGGATCACCTACGAGCTTAAGTGTCGTCTTTTCTTCATCACGTTGAGGGAACCAACCCTCGGGTGGTTCACTGAATTACTCTTGGGAGTAATCATGTTGTTTGCTGACTTCAATTCGATGTTTATGACACAATTTACCAAAGCCCATAAGACATAAATGAAATCACAAGTTTTTCTATTGTTATTGGAGGGACAGAGGTAGATTTGTGCTCGTTTTTTCACTTACTTCCAAAAGGAAATATTAGAAGTGCGGACCTTGGAGCTCACAATCGCTCATTCTGCTCGAACATAGGGGCTGAAGGAAGGATGCTTCCGATATGTGTTAGGCCTGTAGTGATCGAAAACATTACTTGAATTGTTGGAGCTGACCAACAACCACATATTTATCGAGGATTATCACTCTAACCCCTCTTCCTCTAGAGTAAAATCTTTTACTCATCGCCTTCAGGAGAGGGCCGCCTAAGGTGAAGGGTAGAGACCGAGACATGATTCATGACCTTTTACTCTTCCTCGATACGATGACACTCGACCGCCCCGAGACCACAAGACGACTGACAGAACACATTACCGAGAGAGCAAGAAGTAGGAGAATCGGTGAACTAAAATATATACATAAAAAATATGTCAGCACTGCTCTTGTTGAGATCTAACGGTTTAGAAGGGAAAAGCACTGTGAAGGTGGGCCACTGATCGTGAAGCCTACTTGTCTGACTGAGTGATGTTGTTCGAGTCTAGCCAGCAAGGCTAAAATCGTTCGAGCGACAAAGTGGACAAAAGGCTAATCGGATGACCCAAGCCCGAACCACTTGCCCAATTGCAAGGTAAAAGAACATCTGAGCTGATCGTTACAGGAAAGCTATCTGATGCATTGGCCATCACTTTTACAGAATCGATCTAAAGGAAGATTCAGCTCCACAACATCTCTGACCATCTAGGGGACGCCTAGAAATTTCTCTTGAAGGCCTATGGTTTGACAGCCAGACGTATCAGCTTGCTAAGTCATGAAGTAGCGGGATGATAGGGTTACACATGTAAAATATAAAAAAATTCCCCACTATGGACTACTCTAAATCAGAGACAAAAATGTAATATCATCATTATGTACCATCTTATGTATAAATAAATAGTCATTTAACGAGTAAGATGCAATTGATAATGACCCATTACCATTCAATCTCTCTCTCACACATTCTCCCCTTACGCTTTATTTCTTGGGTGTGAATCATGGACAAATCAGGATTTAACATGAACATGTACTGCACGCCACTCTATTGCTATGGATTTACATATCTAACACCTAAACTTTAATTTTTTTCATATATGCTGCCTTGCTTATGCATAAAAAGGTGTATTCCCTTTTTATAAAGCAAGATAGTGGTGTTTGTGAATATAAAAGATTTGAGTGGTATAAATATAAAAATATAAAATGTAAGTGTTAGATATGTAAATACATAAAAATTGGGCGGCATGCATGTAAATGCCCCCTTTTTTACATTTATTAGGAGCTGCTTACTTGTAAAACCTTTATTTATTAAATTGGGCAATGCCTGTCTTTTATACTGCTACTAGTACTAATAATAATATTTTTATCAGTATTATTTTATAGTTGGAAATGTCGTAGCTTAAATTTATTTTAGTGGCATTTACATATATAACACTCAATTCTCATGTATTTATATATCTCACACTTAATCTTTCGTATTTATACATATAGCACTCAAATCTCTCGTATCATGTAAAAAATAACACTATTATCACATTTTAAAAGTGAAGTATACTTTTCTTGCATACGTTGGAAACACCCAAGTGCTATGTAAATATGAAAGTTTGGATGTGAGGTATGTAAATACACGAGAATTGTGTGCTAGGCATGCAAATTTCCGTAAAATCTATGTATACCAAATAAATGCTTGAATCCCTCTACAATCCGTCTTATATATTCCCAAGAATAAAAGCAGCTTTATATGCACAAGAGAGCCATGCCTGCTTTTTTGGGAAAAAAAATTGCGTATATAAGACGTACGCAGCATTGCGTACATAATAGATGTTATATTCGAGTTATATCGGTATTATATTCGCGTTATATCCCCTGTAACCTCCATATAATTTTTAGGTAACATACATGTAACCTACATATATATGAAAACAGAAGCGCGGAACTTATTTGGAAGTTCAGGTAAGTTACAAGTAGATTATATGAAGGTTACATCGAGGTTACATGCGATATAACGTGGATATAATACAGATATAACATGAATATAGCCTCCATTATATACGCAGCGCTGCGTACTTCTTACACATGCAAACTTTTCTCCTGCTTTTGCACATGTAATCCCCTTGATCCAAGGTGTAGTTCTCAGCGACAATTTTTTTTTTTCAGATTTAACCAAATTTGTATATAATTGGCAAAATGATTCTGTTATAAGGTGCAATCTGCATTGTTTTTGCGAATATACTTATGGGGAAAAAAACTCTCTGATGGCTTTCATAGAACGTATGTAAAAACAGCTGCATGAGGAAATGATTTTATGCATCAGTTTGTGCGTTGTATATTGATTTAGGGATAATGTAAGCAATTTTTATCTTGGGAAATTTACATTCATACAACCCAATTCCTATGTATTAACATAACTCAAATCTAAATTTTATTTTTCTTACATTTATAGCACCCAAATATTTCATATTACATAAAAATTACCATTATTTTTAACTTTCTAAGAAGTGAAATTTGCATGTACTATATATATATATATATATATATATATATATATATAATATGAATTGAATGGTATGTATATAAATCTTCCTTTAATATTTTAATAAATAAATAATTGTCTAATTCTATAAATATATACATAATACTTTATTTAAAAAAAAAAATTGGCTTGGTATATTTGATCTAAAACATAGTAAATATATTAAATTTATTTTGAGATGATTATAATATAAATTCTAAATAATTATATAAAAATTAAAAAAACATAATTTTCATATACATATAATCATATGTATTTATATATTTAACACTAAAATTTTACTTCTTTTACATTTATACCGCCCAAAATTTTCGTATCACATCAAAATACCACTTTTCTAACTTTTAAAAGTAAAGGCACATCACATATAGAAAATGTGGTATAAATGTAAAAAATTGAAGTTTAGGCAACATGTCTATATACATAGGAATTGAGTGGCACGTAGGTTTCATATCATGTAAAAAATAGCACTGGCTTTAAATAGTGAAATAAAAGTTTTTTCTTGTATAAGAAAAATGGTATATATATAAAATTTGAAGTTCAAGTATATGTAAATATATAAGAATTGAGTGGTATCCATGCAAATCTTCCATGAAATAAATAGTTGCCATTAATATGCCAAACACAAGCAAAGCTCAACTACATTCTAAGTTATAATAAAAATTGTAACCACATCTTGCACAAGAAAAAAAAATGGAATCAACATCTAAACATTAAAAATCAATCATTTCATCTTATGAAAGACGTGCACAGACACAGACAACAATGAAATAAAATAAAGATATAAGAAAAAGATAAAAACAGTTAAATTTTCTCATAAAAATCTAACCAAAAGGGCCGCAGAGAGCTTATTGATCAAAATAATCTCTAGATGCATTACAGCAATGGTGAGCAGCACATCTTATACATTATATACACAGGAAAAATGACCAAACTCAAAAGAACACTACTTATTTCTAACCGTTTCATTTATATAACTGTTACAAAGAAGCTATTCCCGCCAACATTTGAATCTGGCTACTCTTACAGTGATTTAGAAACCATGAGATCCCTTCGCTTCCGATGACGAAGTCGAAAAAGCATGGCTGGACCGCTTCCTCTTATGCGTCCTCCACGTCACAATGTTGCCGTACCACCCGCTGCTACCTTCGCCGTCGCCATCGTGTTCCTCCTTGCTCGGTGTCTGAAACAAAGTTCGATACTTTCCCGTAGTCCTGCTACACATATCATCACTAATATCATCACTCGCCATCGATTTGCTCGCATTCCTCTGCTCGGAGAAAGTCTGCGCAACCATTTCGTCTGATGTAGTCGACTCGTATATATCTGAAAGCTGATCCCTTCTCCTGCCTTTACTAGTGGAAAATATCGATACATCTTCGCCGTTCTCTACGGCTTTCATCCACTGGAGATCGGTGAGGGGGTCAGCATAAACGACCTCTCGACGTCGTCTCTTGCCCAGAGCCTGATTGGAATCGTCATCTGCGAGCCCTTTAGTTTTGGCTTCGATGTTCTTGAAATAGACCCAATCAGGCACCTCAAATTCTTCCATGAGCCTGCACTTGTATCTCTCCCTTTGCCTCCGTTCTTCATCCATTTTTTCAAATAACCAGAACTCCTCTTCGTTTCGAGCCGCAAGACGGTTTATCTCCCTCTCGCTGGGAACATCGGTGCCGAGTGAATCGGTTCCCCTTCGCATGATCTCTTCCAGCATCTCTCGCCTGTCCTGAGCTGCACCATAATCAACTCATGTTTAGAGGCATTATTTACATTAATGCCAACCAATTCCCCTATATATTTACATATCTAACACCTAAACTTCACTTTTTTTTACATTTATAGCACCCAAATCTTCCAAAATCACGTAAAAACTACCACCATTTTAACTGAAAGAAAAAGAAAAATACACCCTTTCATTCATAAGGTTGAATGTATGTAAAAAAATTGAGGTTTTGGTGGAAGATATTCATTAATAATAGTACATATTATCCAATTATCGGTGTAATTGAGCCAAGTTGATTGGTTAGCCGACTCAGGCTCAGGCTCAGGCTCAGGCTCAGCTCAATAAGTGGCTTGTGAGTTAAGTTCGACGAGCTAAAAAACCACAATCAAGCTAGACCTAACCCGACTAATCAGCTCGTGAGCCGATTATTTAAAAAATAACTAATATAAAACATATCAAAATATATTAAAATTAACTTTATTTGTAAATTATTCAAAATAAAAAAAAAGAGATATTTTACATTTAATAGCAAGTGATTTCTTATCATTTATCTTCAAATTATTCATTCTATTTATCTTTTTATTATATGGGTAATTTACACAAAAATCACTCGAAACTTGTTGTTTATAAATCCACCCCTCTTTGATACTTTTTTAAAATTCTCACTCAAATATCAAAATTCACGGTAAAACCCTAACCCATAATTTTCATTTTTATCAAATTCTCAATAGTTGGATAGTGGAACGTGTAAATACACTAGTTCGGTAGTTAAAAAAAATCATCTAGGTGACTAATTTGTAAATATCAATGTTTCGGATGGTCTGCATGTAATTATCCTTATATTTAATACTAGCTCAAACTAATACTATTTTATCTTTTTCATAATTAAAAATGACGGCTCATGAGCTAGCCCGAACTTGTAGAAGTAAGCTCAAGCTCAAGCTCTAACTTGATTAAATAATCAAACTTAAGTTCAAACTGAGAATGTCTATATTCATCTATCATCGCTGGTAGAAGAACAAACCTGTAGAAGTAGTGTTGAACAATCCAGCCTGGATGACCTTTGCATCAATGCCCATCTTCTGCTTTGCCCGCTCTAAAATGACCTCTTCGATTGAACCCACGCTTACCAGCACGAAGACACGAACCTCCTTCTTCTGCCCAATTCGATGCGCCCTGTCTTCCGCCTGCTGATCCATTTGAGGGTTCCAATCACTGTCGAAGATAATAACAGTATCCGCAGTCTGCAAATTTAATCCAAGACCTCCGGCTCGAGTGCTCAAAAGAAACATGAAGTAGTCGGAATCGGGCGCATTAAATAGTTTCAGTTTAGCCCCTCGTTCTTCGGTCTTGGTAGAACCATCGAGCCTAAGGTACTTGTAGCCGTAAATGTCCAAATAGATCTCGAGGATGTTTATCAAGCGAGTCATTTGAGAAAAAAGTAGGATTCTATGGCCCGTTCGTTTCAGCTTTGGAAGCAGCCTGTCTAGGAGTTCAAATTTCCCTGATGCTCGAACGATTTGGTCTCGCTGCCACATGTTGTAATCTTCTACGAACAGAAATGGATGATTGCAGCACTTTCGGAGCTGCATCGAGTAATTCTGAAGACCCTTGGACCTTCCAGTCCCTACAAATTGTTATTTTGAAAACAAATTTTAAATTTTGTGTTAGAGTAAGAATTCAAAATCTATGATAGAGCTGTGTAAACAAATTTTAAATTTTGAGCAGAGTGGAGCTGTGTAAAGAAGTTGTTGCAGAAAAGGAATAAGAATTCAAAATCTATGATAGAATACACATAATAAAGTTATCTATCACATGCCAGATTTTCTGTCTTATTTCCATCAATGAGTTTGCAGCAGCCTTATGTTTCTACAGAAAAAAAAAGCTAGAAATGGGTAACTAAAAAGATTAAATCTATTAGAAATGTGAAAAAATTATCAATGTTAGTGCCATGTCTCCTGAATTGTAACTTGGTTAAGTGCTTCCAATTCTAAAGGGAAATTTTTGTGGGCTAGGCATATAGAATTGCTTATCCAGGCTGTGCAGCCATAGCTTCGTTAGATGTGTTTTACTTTTCTATGTTTTTAATACATATCACTCAATTCTTATGTATTTATATATCTAACAACTAAACTTAAATTTTTACATACGGCATAACAAGGTGTATTTCCCTTTTTAGAGGTAAAAACTGATATTTTTTTTGTGAAATGAAAGATATGGGTGGTATAAATGTAAAAAAGTAAACTTTAGGTGTTAGATATGTAAATACATAAAAATTGGGTAGTATGTATGCATATGGCCCTTTATATTTTGTTGTCCGGGTGATCCACATTCTGGCCTCAAAGGTTACTTTATATGTAATTAGATCAATCATGAACTAAACTACCATTATGCTTAGGCTTATCCCAAACAACTAAAGGCAGATTAACTCTGGTTTCAAAATGTTATATGCCAAAAAAATATAAATAATGAATCTTAGAAACAGCGATTGTGTGGTTTGAGACATGGATATCCTTCTCATCAGAGAAATCAAATTGGATCAATATGAGACCTCTATCAGAGATGCTGTCAGCATAATGTAGGTTGATATAACCCCCTATGATACACTGTAGGTTGATTGTAGACCCAAAATCTCAAAATTTTATGTGTAAGGATCAACTATGCATACTTTGTTACATCAATTACAAGCTTTACTAGATCCAACAACATTCATATATTTGCGTGACTATCATTTCTTACACCAAATCTTCCTTATGTTCTAAATGTCTACTGGCCTCACCTTATTTTCAGAACTTGCAGGTCTCAACCCTATTTCTATTTTAACATCCCTTTCAACACCCTTTCTTGATCCTCTTTCTTCTTCTAAAACACTAAAATCTCTCGAACTCAACATCATACTCTTTCCTATAACAAGAAATCTCTCTAAAGATTAAAAAATAAATAAATAAAAATCAAAAGATAATATGCTGGACATGAATATAAATTAAAATCAATTAAAGCCATTTTAAACATACCAGATTCTAGCCCTACCCTTCCAATATCAGTAATCTGCTGATAGTATGCTTTCTGCCACGCTGACATATCACATTTTAATATCACTTGGGTCTTCCCCGGAAGATACTTTTCAACCTCATCCTTCTTTCTTCTAAGTAAAAATGGCCTTATAACCTGAACGGATAAATATGGTTAAGTTACATGATTAAGAAAATATAAAATAAATAATAATTGTAAAAGAATCAGGTGAGAAATAATAGTGAAATCAGAACTCACTTGATGTAAACGTCGAATAATCAAAAGCTGTTCCTCATCGGTAAGACTAACCTCACACTTATCTGCAAAAGGAGCATTAAACCATTCCTCGAAATTTTGTACTGAATTAAAGATGCTGGGTAGAAGGAAATTAAGCAGTGACCAGAGTTCTTGAAGACTATTCTGTATAGGAGTACCGGTCAAAAGCAGTCTCCGCCTAATATGAAATCTGAGCAGGTAGAACTTATCATAAGAAGATATTATTTACAGGCATTATGGGAATAAGTATGAAAATGGCTTGAAGAAGATTTTAGAACTATATGTACAATGCAAACTGGGCTAATAAAATTGATGTTAATGTGATAAGCACACTAGAAATGAACAAAATAAAAATATTGTTAAATTAATTAAGAAATCATGACAATATGACCCTTTTATAATCTCAAATGTATGGGATTGATGAAAGCTAGAAGAGGGAAATTAAAACTTAGTTAAATTTAGACCTTTCCAGATGAGAAATGCCCTGGAGATCCTCTAAAATAGCGATTTGAGCAAATTCATGAATACAAGTTGAATGGGATCCTTTACGGTGGCAAGAGAGTTGGTAAATGAAGGTGAGACAAAAAATGATTCTCTATAATAAAAAGAATTGGCTGAAAAATGACATATCAAGAATAACATTTATTGTTCCCCTTTTTGCAAGGTACGAAATGGCTCCCTATGAGTAAATATTAATGACTGATCCTCAATTAGCCAACATAATTCATGGCTGACAAATTAAAGGAAAAAATTCCTGATCAAACCTCAGGCACCCAAGAATAAAAAAACAATAATACACTCAACATTTGCTTTTTGCAACTAGCTTCCATCAATTCTAGATGGATGGCATGATGGAAGGGCAAAAAGTAAGGACTTGTTTACCATCTTTTTTTTAAAATATTATTATTATCAATTTAAGGGTTTGGTTGGGGCAGCTGCAGCTCTTTGAAGACGCAGGTCTGAAGCTGCAACAGAAGAAACAACTTTTCAAAAAGTTACGGTGACTTACAAATTTATTTTATTTTTAAAAAGTCAGAACACAGCTTTCTGACAACTATCACACATTGGGCTCGTTTGAGAACAGGGTAGCCTTTCATTTTGTTTGAGAGAACGACAATAAAAATCACATTGCATGTTGACGCAAGTTGCGTGCAACGCAATGACACTCTTTCGCCATTTTAAAATGGCGGATCTCCGTGGCTTTCCATTTGCCACACCACATTTCCGATCCTGAACGGTATTATCAAATTTGCAAATTCGTTTGCCGACCATTAATATGATGTCCCCGAGCTTCGACGACAATGGCCATATCCAAGGATCTTATTCTTTAATGGAAAAGTGAGGCGAGGAGCTCCCACCTCCCACACATGGAGAAACGTCAGACGGAGAACGTCTCGCTCCGCAAATTTGGCATTCTTGTCGTGTAGCTAGAGTCCATCATCGCTTCGCCCCCTCCCCCTAGCAACACCCGGACCCGCTCCTCTGCTTTGATCTCCTATCCTTGCTAGTAGAGACCATTGAAGAAGAGTCTCAGGTCTTATATTCGGCTTTGCTTTAAATGCTTGAGCCCCTCTTTTTTGCTCCATTTCAGGCTAGCGGATGGCTAACGGAAGAAGGATTTCCAATGACGAACTCCAACCGGTTCACTTGCATGCAAACAGTACATCAGCTTTAAGAAGCTGAATGTTAAAACCATTTTTTAAAAAAGCTCAATTTAAACAAACTTTTAAAAAAGAAGAAGCAAAGCCAAAAAAAGTATTTAACAACTCAGGTCGAAAAAAACAGTTTCTACCATAGGAATTTCTAAAAATCAGCAAGAAGTTTGTTCCCCAAACAAAACTATGGTGGCATTCTCAAAAGCAAAGCTGAAAGAAAACTGTCTCAAATAGACCCTAAGTTTGTTTTGTTTTGTATTGATATCATAAACCATTACTAATAATAAATGTTGTAAGATTGATAATGAGAACAAAAATTGTCATCATATTTTATCCTCCTTTTTCATAAAAAAATATATCATCAATGAATTCTTTTATACAAAAAACCAACAAAATATAAGAGGCGGTGAGAAAATTGGCATTTCCTTGAGAACACTAAAACCTTCACCTTAAGAGGAATGTCCAACTTTTGTAGAATTTGGCACCCATTCCTAATAAACCACATTCACAATAGAATTTGGCGCCCATCACTAAACTCAATCCAAGAGCCCTAAAATGTATCATACTTGGATAATCCTTGAAAAAAAGAATACAAGTGTTACCATCTCAATTCTAAGAAATTCTTTATCGATTGTGATGTTACCTCTCAAGAAAATAAAAGATCACCCAACTAATGTTCACTATCTAATGAAACCCTATCTAATGAACCTAAACCATTACTATACATACAAAAAGTCGGAAAGACAACAACAAAGCTTTTATCCTATTAAGTGGGGTCACCTACATGAATCTTTTTCTCCATCGTGTCCTATTGAGCAATATTTTCATTTAATTCTAATAAATTTACATTATCTTTTATACATCATGCCAAAGTCTGGCTAGGTCTACCTCTACCTTTCTTAACATAAGTGAAATCTAAAACATCTTCTCTCCTAACTGGGTCATTAGGAGGTCAACATTTAATGTGACCAAACCATCTAACACAACTATTTCTAATCTTGTGTGCTACTGGCGTTATTCTAACACTTTCACGAATATATTCATTTCACATTTTGTGTCTAAGAGTAAAGCCACGCATTTGCTTGAGCATTCTCATCTCAACAACACCTAATTTTATTCTTCTCTTTTACAGGCCAACATTCGGCACCACAAAACATTGCAGTTCTCACCACCCTCTTATAAATTTTTTATTTAAGTCTAAGTGATTCTTTTATGTCACACAAGAGGCCCAATGCATTCCTCCACTTCAACAATCCAATTTGAATTCTATTAATAACATCCTTCATATATATCACCCTCACTTTGAACAAGAGAACGAAGATATCTAGAACGTTAACTCCTTTTAATCAACCCCGCCATCGGATCTACAACAACAATAAGAAGCCTTTATCTCACTAAGTGGGGTCGGCTACATGAATCTTTTTTCTTCATTGTATCATATTTTCATTTAATTCTAATAAATTAAGATCATTTTTTATACAACATGCCCTAATTTTTTTAGGTCTACCCCTATTTTGTTAACATAAGTCAAATCTAAAACAAATACTCTCCTAAGTGGGTCATCAAATAATCAACGTTTACTGTGACCGAAAAATCTAAGAGGACTCTTTCTAATCTTGTTTGACACTGTAGATAAACTAACTGTTTCACGAATATATTTGTTTCACATTTTGTCTCTAAGTGTAAAATCACTCATCCACCTAAGCATTCTCATCTCAGTAACATAACTTAGTTTTATGCTTCTCCTTTATGGGCCAATATTCTGCACCATAAAGCATTGCAAGTCTCGCCACCATCTTATAAACTTTTTCTTTAAGTCTACGTGGTTTTTTTTCTATCACACAATAGGTCTGATGGATTCCTCAACTTAAACCATCCAACTTAAATTCTACTAATAACCCATCTATATTACCATCACTTTGAAAAATAGACCTGAGATATTTAGATCATTTATTCCTTTTAATGACTTGCTCACTCATTGTTACAACCCACCAATAGATCTAATACTACTAAATGTATATTCCATGTATTCCGTTTTAGATCTACTCAAATAAAAGCCTTGAGACTCTGATCTCCATAATTCAAGTTTTTCCCGAACTATTTCTCTAGTCTTATCCACAAGAAGGATATCATTCGCGAAAAGCATACATCAAGGTACATCCTCCTATAAATGTCCAGTAATTAAAGCAAAAAGATATGGGCTTAAAATCGATCCTTGATATAATCCAATTGAAATGGAAAAAAAATTGGTCAATCATGTATATAAACCTTTAATGACTTGAATATATACCATATCAATACATTTCTTTTCTAAAACTCTCCAAAGTACTTCTCTTGTAACCATATCGTAATCTTTTTCTAAATTAACAAAAATCCTTAATTTCTCTATACTTCTCCAGCAAACCTCTCAATAAATATAGATCTACTACTACTAAAATTATATTTCAAATACATAGTTTTAGGTCCACTTATACGAAAACTTTTAGATTCTAAAATTTGACTTCCATAATTCATGTTTTTCTTGAGTTATCTCTCTAGTCTTATCCTTAAGAAGGATATCATCAGTAAAAAACATACACCAAGATACATCCTCCTACAAATGTACAGTAAAAAAACATCCATAACTAAAGCCAAAAGATATGGGCTTAATGTTGAACACAGATGTAATCCAACTAAAATTGGAAAATACTTGGTCAATCTTCCTTATGTTGAAACACAAGTAATAGCTCTACTATATATATCTTCAAATACTTGAATATAAGCAATATCAACACATTTCTTTTTTAGAACTCTCCAAACTACTTCTCTTGGAACCTTATCATAAGTTTTTTCTAAATCAACAAAAAATATATGTAGATCCTCCTTACTCTCTATATACCTCTTCATCAAATCTCTCAATAAATATATAGCTTCCATGATAGACTCACACAACATGAATCTAAATAAATATTGAGAAATTTTTGTATGACGTCGTAACTTATGTTCAATTACTATCTCTCAAAACATTAATGTATGACATATTAACTTAATTCCTCTATACTTTTGCACTCTTTTGCATCCCTTTTATTCTTAAAAATATGAACCAACAAACTTTTTCTCCACTCATTTGACATCTTTTTAATTTTTAAAATAATATTAAAAAATTTAGTAAGCTAATAAATATTTTTTTATTTTTATTAAAATATCATGAGATCCTATTGATTTTTCACACTACTTTCTTTAAAGATTCATCAACTTCTATTTCATTAACATGACGACAGATACAAAAAAAATTGCTATGATTTATTCTATTAAGATCACCAAATGTGATCATATTTTCATGATTTTCATAGAAAATTTTATTAAAATATCTCACCCACCCATGTTGAATATTCTCGTATAAGAAACATTTTTTTTTATTTTGATCCTTATATTTATTTGAACTCAATCTTTAATTTTTTTATCTTTTTACTTGATTAGTTTATACATATATCTTTGACCCTCTTTAGTATTTAATATATTAAAAATAGATTTATGAGGATCACAAATTGTTCTCTTAGACTCTTTTAAGGTCGCGATGTTTTTTTCAATTCTCCAAACTTTTACATCTAAACCAATTTTTATAATAATTTTTTTATTTTTGTATCTTTACTTACACATCATTATTCTACCACAAACTATTTTTATTTATAAGAATTTTATTTTTATTTTCAATTATATTTTTTGCAGCTTGTTTAATAGTACTAGTGACTTTATTCCACATAGTATTAACTTTTGCATGAACTTTTCAAATCTTAAGATCTTTAAGTTTACTCGTAAAAATAATATTATTTATCTTTTCCGTCTCCCCATCTAATTTTAAGATAATATTTCATTATATTTCATATTCCATCCATTTATCTTAAAATCCAAAACCAGTAATTTATATTGGTTATTTAAATATTCACTTGAAATGATCTTACAAGCTTTACAATCTTGACAATTTATTTTTCTCATAAAAAAATAATCAATTTATGTTTCATTAGATCAATTCTTATAATTAATAATATACTCATCTTTTTTTCTTAAATAAAGCTATAAGCAAGAACACAATCATAAGCTAAAGCAAAATCTAATATAGCTTTACATTCTTCATTAGTCACTCCAAAATCATAATCACCGTAAAAACTTTTAAAATTTTTTAGGACTCTAGCAACATAACAATTCAAACTTCCTTCAATAAAAAATCTTTCTTTGAGATGGATTTATTGTATCAATTCTTCTAAGTTATTCAAAATTTTTTCCTTTTGAACATATATCCAAACATACATGAAAAGCATAAGCATTTACAACATTAAAAATCTTAGTATAAAAAATAATCTTTAGAACTGTAATTCTTTTTCCAATTCTATTAATTTTTATAACATTATCTTTCAAACTCTTATATATAATTATACATACACAATTTCTATTACGACTCCTACCATAATACAAAAGTTTAAAATATAAGTTATTAATCTCAGACTTTTCTCCAATCGAATTAATTTCTTAAATGAAATATTTATCATCTTACGAACCATGGTATCTATTAATTTCAATAATTTACCTGTTAGAATATATATATTCTATATTTCTATCTTAATATTAATTTCATAGAATAGCTTATTTGCTCGAATCCGTCCATAATGTGAAAATCCTTGCTAATTTAGCACTACACCCTGAGACCGGTGTAGTGTCCCTCGAGCACTTGTCATAGTATTCAGATCATACAATAAATTATTTATAGGGGATGCCCTAGCATTGACACAAGAATTTAAAAGATTAATGTTATAGCTATTTGACAAAAAGTTTAATGTCGGTTGTCGACTACCTAAAACAACCTACACTTTTCACATCCAGGACTTGAGACCCGAAAATGACAGTGTTAAACCAAAGCAAGCTTTTCCATTAAGTTTATGCAATCTTAGGTATCACCCCTACCTTTGAAATTAAAAACCATCATGATATAAGGCTGCCTACTGCTTTAAAGGAGCACAAATATGCACACAACATCGACTTGCCAATTTTATTTCTCTTTCCATCCTTTTGTCTTCACACAAAACTTCTTACTAAGATGTATAAATCATATTTCCTAGAACCACCCAAGAAGCACCTTGAAAACAAATAATGAAAAAAAAATAATTGAAGGAATGAAATTCTTGAAAGAAAAACAAACTTGGAAGGTAGTCGAGATGCCAAAGGAAAGAAAAAAATTAGATGCAAGTGGATGCCTTGTCAAATATAATGCAAACAAGATACTTGAGAAGTATAAAGATAGATCATTCCAAGAGGCTACAACACTCAGACCTACGGATAAGTTTGCACCAATCACAAATCTAAACACCATCCAAGTACTTCTATCACTAGCAACCGGACTCAACAAGAACTCACAACAGTTAGATGTAAAAAAATACATTCCTAAATAAAGAACTAGGAAAAACCTCTGTAAAACCCCCACCAAGTTACAATCACTATGTAATTACTAACCATATATACAGGTTGAAGATAATTTGTTATAGCGGTTTAAACATATTCCAACAGGATTAATTAAAAGGTTCACAAAAACCAAAGAAATGATCAAACTTCAAACAAAGACTTTGGGATTACAAATTATGCATAGAAATGTAAGACGGAGAAATCAAAGTTCTTTCGGAAGAAAAAAGTAAAAGACCAACTAACCAACCAAAGGTTTTGAAGGGAATAAAAATTCGATGAAGAATTTTAACACTTCATGGAATTGAAGCAACCTGCTTAAAAACTGTGATACTAATCTCCGAATAAAAATACATACTGGATTTACTAAATAAAAATATGATGGGAAGCAAGCTCTAAGAAGTTTCAATTGATTACTACCATAAACTAAGAAAGATAAAAGACTACCCAAAAGTTGACATACAAACTATCAAAAAAGATTAATTAGGACACAAAAGACTAAACTTAGGGCCCGTTTGGGGCAGCTTATTTAGTGTGGTGGCGTTTTGAAAACGCACCTGACCTGTTTGGGTAAACTGCGTTTTGGCAGCTTATGCATTTTCAAAACGCAGAAAACAGTGTTTTCACACCGCACCTATCTAGGTGCGGTGGGAGTTTATTGGCAACGGTCTGACTTTTCCAAAAAAAATAAAAATTTGTAATAACCACCGCACCTAACTTATCAACAAATTATTTTTATTCAGCTTATCAACAAATTATTCAATAAGCTACAGCTGCCCCCAAACAGACCCTTAGCCTACGTTGTAAGTATTCTAAGTCAGTTCATGCATGCGGAATCCTAGCATATAAAACTCTTTAAAATCTCAAAGTTATTCTGGGAAATTGAATCTTATTTAATAATAATTAAAAAACTTAGAAACATAAATAGAAGCTAATTGGATTGGATAACTTCGAAATCAAAAATATATTAGTGGTTTTTACACCTTCAGAAAAAAAAAACCCCTACTAATTTGGAGAAGCAGCAGCCAATAATCGCAAGGCCCAAACTTGAAACTAAATTTTTATCAAAGGCCCAAAGAATCTATGAGCAGTTATGAATCAAAAACTTCCGAAATGACTTGGGAATAAAATGGGAAAACACCATAAAGTTATATTGTAACAAAAAACCAACCATTAACATCAAATCAAATATAAAAAATCGATTGACACTTATCAAAGAAAAGCTAGGTGAATAAGTGACTATGTAACAATGGGTGATGAACTATTAAAAGATGTGAACACTTTAGATATCTCGGGTCTATTGTTGAAAGTGATGGTGATATACATGGGGATGTTATTAGTAGAATTCAAGTTCGTTGGTTGAAGTGGAGAAATGCTTCGGGCTTAATGTGTGATAGAAAAGTACTGCTTAGACCGAAAGGAAAATTTTATAAGATGGTGGTGAGACCTACAATGCTCTATGACACTGAATGTTGGCTTTTAAAAGAGAAGCATAAAACTAAGTTAAGTGTTGTCGAGATGAGAATGCTTAGATGGATGAGTGGCTTTACACTTAGAGACAAAATGCGAAATGATTATATCCACGATAGGATTGGTGTAGCTCCAGTGGCAGACAAAATTAGAGAGAGCTGCTCTAGATGGTTTGGTCACATTAAACGTCGATCATCTGATGATTCGATTAGAAGAGTAGATGTTTCATATTTGATTTAAGTTAAGAAAGGCAGAGGTAGACATAAAAAAACTTGGGCATATTGTATAAAAAATGATCTTAATTTATTTCAATTAAAAGAAAATATGACACTCAATAGGACGCAATGGAGAAAAAGGATTCATGTAGCCGGGCCCACTCAGTGAGATAAAAGTTTGTCATTGTTGTTGTATTGTATTTCAAAATAACGGACGGAGCTGATAAAAGAAAAAGATTGCAACATTGATAGCATCCCACACAGGCATGCACTCTTCAGAGTACAAACATTCATAGAGAAACCTAAAAAATTAGATTGTTCCCCCTTGCATGAAACTAACTTTATCCTGGATACAACTGCAGACTTAGATTTCTTTTTTTAAAAAAAACAGCACATTACAAATATGAAGAGCCAAAAAAAATTAGCCTTGCCTATTCAGACAGCAATAAAATGCAAAATCTATCAATCCAGGCAGTAGATGTTAAAAACTTTTCTACCACATCCATTCAAACAGTGGTGGCAGAAATAAATAATTTAAAAATTGAAATAAAAAGAAACTGCATAATATTAGCACAAACAAACCCGGAGGCCAACGTTCGCGCAAGAGCACACTCATGATTTTTTAAGCGATGTCCTTCATCAACTATCATATAGCACCAATGAATCTTCCTCAGAAATATTTTATCTTTCATTATAAGGTCATAGTGGGTGATCAAAACATTAAACTTTCCTTGCCCAGATATCTCTTCCCTCATCGCCTTTCTTTCATTCACCCCTCCATCATATAAAACAGTTGAAATGCTGAGGCAAAAAAGGTCAACTTTCAAACAAAAAAGGAAAAAAGACAAACATATATACATACGACTCAATTCTCATGTACTTACATATCCATCACCTAAACATTCATATTTACATGCCTACCACTCAAATCTTTAACATCAGATCAAAAATACCATCATCACTATCTTTTCTAAAAGTGAAATACACCTTTTCATGCATAGTTTTATGACACAATGGTATTATCAGCGTAAATATCAAACTTTGGGTGTTTGATATGTAAATGCATAAGAATTGTGTCATATGTATGTAAATTTCTCTAATTTTTAAGCTATGTAAAAAAAGTAATACCCTGGTGCCCAAGTAGCAAATTCATTTAGCCAATTTGGCAATACAGCTTTTGGAGCGATGATCATGTGGGGACCATTCACGCATTTATTCTCCATCAGATATGCAATTAATGCAATTGTCTGAATTGTCTTACCAAGACCCATCTCATCAGCAAGGATACCATTTAGATTATTATTAAATAAAGAAAGCATCCATTGAAGCCCTTCCAGCTGATAAGATCTTAATTCTCCACCCAGAAGCATAGCTGGCTGCTCAGTTACCTGAGAAATATTTAACAGTAGAGGTTATGAAAATGGACAAGGAAAGAGTAAAACAAATAAGACAAGTATTATAACTCATTAAGGAATTGTGTGGCTAAAATAATGAATTATAGTAGTTGTGAACTTTTACATGTAGAACTGCATGTTTGCGCCACAATAAAAAAATAATAATAAATAATAACAATTTTGTTAAAAAAAATTTACAAATTCTAGCACCCTAGTAACTAATCTTCTACTATTTAATAAATCATAACTCATTCTTAGATGTAGCAAAATTGCCCGATTTAATTGTCGTATATTGATTTGAAATAAGATAATACTTTCAAATACTTGAAAGCTATTCATAATTGAATTCCAAATATAAATGTTGCAAGTCAGTAATCATTCAAATGCCATCAAATAGTTCAAACATTTTGTTCATCTTAGGGCCTAGGATTATATTAAGGCGTAACTAGAATAAAATGCAAAAAAAAAAAAAAAAAAAAAAAAAAAAAAAAAAACACATATAAACATGCTGAGAATTTTAAATATCATGAACACTTAATTTGGACAAATTTCAAAACTTCAAATGAAATTGGAAAGCACAAATAAATCCAGTTTGATGATGATTCTATAACCTTCTCTTAAAAATAACACGTAAAAATTAGAAAACCTAAAAGGCATATAATCAACTGAAATTATATCCAAATTGAATAAAACCGATCATATATGCAAGCAAAAAAAACATGATTTTAGAGAGCAAGAATAAAATAGAAAGAATAAAAGAATCTAAATCAAATTTCATGCCAATAAAAGGAGATAATATCTTCCCGTTATATCCGGTCTCTCAATTGATAAAAAAGTGGACAAAAAGTAGCAACACATCCAACTAGAACTTTATTAGAAAATAACTTGGCTTAACTTTCACATTCCCTGAGACCTTTTTTCATGGTTTGGTCCAATCAACTAGTGTTTATAACTAGATCAAACCAAACCATAACCAAAACTTGAAATCAGCATCAAACTGGCATTATGGCAAACCAAATCAAATCAATATGCTAAGTTCAGTATGATAAAAACATAAATCTTAAGGAATTAGTTTTGGTTGGGTTCCTTTTGATTTTAAATGGATTTCAACAATGTGGTGCATTTTGATTTGATAGTTTTGTTCTGAAGTGGGAGATCTTTTAAAGCAAATTTCATTAAGATAATGTATTGGGAGAGAAATTAAAAATAGAAAATGTACCAACGGTTCACAACTTGTCCAACCATTGACGCGGGTCTAGGGAGCCAGCCGGCTGAATCGGCTGGAAGAAGAAACCGGTTCTACCGGTTCCCTTAAGCCTCGGCCCAGGACCGGCCGGCCAAAGCATGGGGTGAGCTTTACCACCCCTTTCCTTGCGTCCTTGCTCTTTCTAATTGCCGCCCGCTCCTTACACTTTCCATTTCTGATTGCTGTACAAAAAAGAAGGGCCTCCCCTTCCTATTTTACATCCTAGCAATTATATGTGTCATTTTTGCTTGTTAGGTTAGTTTTTGCTTGCTTGAAAAGTCATCCTTGGAGTTTCTTTCTCCCTTGCTAGGGTTGTATCCGACGACGGGTGGTGCTTCGACTGTATCCTGCTTCGAGATGGTGTTGTATTCTCTCTTATCTTCTTCCCTACCCCTTCTCCTCCCCTTCCATAGTCATTGGCCACCCCTAGACCTTCTTGTGGGCTGGCCGACCCTTGTTACTACTGCAGCTTTGCTGTCCAGCCTCTAGTTCACCTCCAAGCACCCCATCCTTTCCTTCCTAGCAGAAGCGTTTGCTGTCCAGCCTCCTCGGCCATCTATCTGCATCGTGCTATCCCTTCCCCTGCAACAATCATTGTTGTCCAGCCCATTTACAGCCACACCAAACCCTTTTCTAACCCACCATACAACCACCAGGCCTTCCTCACCCCCTTTACCACTTTGTAGACGCCTCCACCGTACTCGGATCATCTCTTCCGGCCCAAGAAGAAGAATAGTGTTGTTGTGTTTTCCTTTCCAGTTTGTGTCGTGTCTCAACCCCTAATTCCGTGCTTAACAAAAGTTTGTTTTCGTTTCTGCTGAATTTTAAACTAGTTTTGGTATCATTTGGTATCAAAGCTAACATAACCCTATACCTATCCTAGGGTTTCCTAGCATCCGTCATAAACCAAAAAATTTTCTTTTCCATCACTAAATAAATTTTCCACTTCAAAAAATCCCAAACTCTAATCATTTAACTAAGAAGATAGATACCGAGTCTACCCGGGAAGAGATATGGCAGAGCTTCGTCGCCTTCAACAGAGTCTTGTGAAGATTGATGAGATGACCAAAAGGGCAGTTTCCCTAGACCAAGATCTAGAGAGTCGAAGGAGAGAAAGAGAGGAGAATCTGAATCCCTTCTATAGGGAGAATTTCAACGATGAAGAAGACAGTCCACGACATTTCGGAATACAGTATCAGAGGAGGCCTAGAGAAGGGTATTTGAATCTCTTACAAAAGGAGAATTTCAGAGAGGAGATATCATTTAAAGGGCACAAAGACTTCGACATCAAAGTGAATCTGTCAGAATTTGATGGAGGTAAGGATCCAAAAGACTATTGATTGGTTGTAATCAGTTGAATGTATTTTTTAGTCTAAGAATGTGCCAAAGGATAAGAGGTCAAATTAGGTGCTATCAAGTTGAAGAAAAGTGTCTCTTTGTTGTATGAGAACTAACAGAGAAAGAGGAAAAATGAAGACATCAATAAGATTACCAGGTGAGAGAAGATGAAGAAAGCAATGCAGTGGAAATATATCTCACCCCACTACCGTCAGGATATATTTCTGAGACTCTACCATCTGCAACAAAAGGATCTGTTAGTAGAGAAGTTCACAGAGCAGTTTGATCAATTACAGATGAGGTGTGCTTTGGTTGAGCCGGAGTAGCATATCATATCCCATTATCTGGGGGTCTGAAGCCACCTATTAGCAACGTGGTGCAGCTGCAACCTTATTTGTCACTAGGAGATGTTCAGAATCTATCCTTGAAGGTGGAAAGATAACAGTAACAAAGCAGGCAGTAGTCATCCTTCAGACAGTAGCCTTTAGCCAAGTAGTCACTTACAACTATGAAGACCGACAATGATACTTCGAGAGGGACTAGCAAGCCTATACCAAGAAGTGACAAGTTGGATCAGAGTGAAAAGAAATATGAGAAAGATAGCTCCTCCAATACAACAACGAGCAATAGGTATTTCAGGTGTCATGGCTATTGGCCGCATAGCCTCCAACTATCCCACGAGCCGAGTAATCACCCTCATAGATCAAGTAGCCGAGAGGAAGTTAGCAACAAAGAGACAAGTGAGGACTAGGGGGAAGTGTATCATGTTCCATTAAAAGAATGAGAGGCACTCATAGTTCGACGGGTTGTACAAACCGATATTGATACAAGGGATCGTCACAATATATTCTACACTCAGTGCACAGTGAACAGGAAGGTATGTAGCCTCATCATCGACGGAGGAAGTAGTAAGAACATGACATCAACACAGATAATTGATAAATTGGAACTCATGCCTCATATCCATTACCAGTCGAAGGCTAAGTCCCGAGATCACATAAACCCTCACTAGCAGAGCAACCTCGGCGGGACTAGTTCTGGTAACGACAGAGGAAGAGAGGACTGAGACACTGGCTCCAGACATGGGACAGGCACGCAGAGGACATTTCGGCATGTCACGGTCAATACCTTACCACAGTGCCACCACCAGGCTGAAGGTTCAGGTTACCCCCCCCTCCCTCCTTTTCAAATTTGGTTAAGCTGACCGTGGATGGCTCTAGGAGTATTCAACAGCAGAAGCAAGATACACAGACTTAATTCAATTGAGTAGTAACCTCCAGAAGATTGGATCGATGTCAATGTTTGCTCACAAGTTGGGAAAAACCCTTAGGTGCCTTGGAGGGCGATGCAATTTCCAATGGGATCCAGGTGCTGCTAGGATTGCAAATGAGGGACCAGAAGCTTTGAATAATGAAGTTGAAACTTCCCCAAACCTGGAAGACTGATGCAGGGCTAGGGAGCCAGCCGACTAAACCGACTGGAAGAAGGAACCATTTTACCAATAAGTCCCAACCCAAGTTTCAACGGGACGTCAAAGCATGGGGAAAGATTTACCGCCCCTTTCTCCACCTCCTTGCCCTTTTTGATTGCCGCCCGCTCCTTCCCCTAGCCTTTTCTGATTGCCGCCCAAAAAGAAGGGCCTCCCCTTCCTTATTTACATCCCATCAATTATACATGTGTTATTTTTGCTTGCTTGTTGTTTTCATATTTCTCCTTGGAGTCTTCTCCCTTACTAGGGCTATATTCGATGACGAGGGGTCTGAGGCGGTGTTATCCTTCCCCTTTTTTAGGCGCCGACCACCCTTGGACCTTCTTATGGGCCGACCAACCCTTGTTACTGCCGCAGCTTTGCTTTCCAGCCTCCAGTACACCTCCCAACACCCTTCCCTTCCCTGCAGCACAGTCTTTGTTGTCTAACACCCTCGGCCATCTACCAACACCCTGCCATCCCTTCCCCTGCAGCAATCATTGGTGTCCAGCCCACCTACGGCCAACCAAACCCCATTCTAACCTGCCATACAACCACCAGCACTTCCCCACCCCCCTTAACACTTTGCAAATGCCACCACCGCCCTTGGATCTTCTCTTCCGGACCTAGTCGGAGATTAGTATTGTTGTATTTTCCATTCCAGCTTGTGTTGTGTTGTAAGCCCTAATTTTGTGCTTATAAAAGTTTGCTTTCGTTTCTGTTGAATTCTGAACTAGTTCCAATATCAATCATATAGGGAATTGGGTCTTCAAACATAAAGGAAGAAATGATAAATAGAGTTGATAAGTGAAAATTGAACCTAATGCCTAAATAACTGAGGATTGAGATTTTATTCTACCATTAATTTGCAACAACGGGAATTTGTTGTTCAGCACTTGGAAATATATTTTTTTTCTTATGCTTAATTGGTTCCTTTTGGTTTATTTCAATTTGATAAAATCTGAAACCTAAGCCAAAACATAACAGTTAATTTAGACAAAATACAAAACTAAATCAATCCAAACCAAAACAAATGATTACAACCACAAAAGGTACAGTGGTACATATAATAAAAGCATACAGAAATTCTATTTTGAAATTCTAGATAAGGAAATGAGTAAAGCCAACAACTAACCTTTAAGATTCAAATTATAAAATTTAAAAAAAAAACTAAATTTTTGAGTTAACAAAGGAAGCTTCTGCAAAGTGACAATTTGAAGCCGGTTTTTTTTTTGGAACTCAGGAGAGTTGTACATTATCACTCAATCCAAATAGTTACAAAACACATAAAAGCATAAATTTTCTTTATTTTTTTTTTCTTACAATGTATAAATAGCATTTGGAATATTATAAAAAGAATCAGAATTTATTCATAGAGCACAACTTATCAGTTATAATGTTTTACACGGTCATATATCACTAGATAAAAAGATTAAAAAAATAAACTAGTGGCATAAAACTCCGGCACCCTTTGTTAAGACATTACTGAAGTTAGTTTTAAACAAGAAACAGACAATAGCAAAATGTAACCTATTCTAAACCACCAATTTCTAAAACAAAGAAATATTTGCATCATTGGAGCTCAAAATAACAATCTACTTTCCAACAATGTATGTGTTTTCGGGTGAGCAACCCATGCAAGCTGCCAATATTATCAAGGTTGAAGAGATTAACTTTAGTGAATAAATCATTACCTTTTCCTGAATGGAATGAACAGCAAAATTATATTGTCTTTGTCCTTCAAGAAAATCATTTGTTTGGAACTCAGTCCCAGACTCGATATCCCCAATATCCTTATCTTCATCTAATGTTAATTCACCCGGAGTTTCAGTTTTAGATAGAGAAGAAGGATCAACAGACTCAGAGCCATTCAAAGCTTCAAGGTCATCAAAATGTTCAGCATCTTTCTGTCTCTGGACAGCCGCACCAAGGCAAACAAGAAGCTCATTTGTTTTTCCAAGAAGCATCGTCAGCCGTTCATTCTTGCTCTCTTCAACCAATCTCATGTATGCCTCTTGATCATCTGCTTTTAATGCCTGAAACCTCAACTTTTCTGCCCGAGTAGCTCGTTGCCTTTGCCTTGCATGCCATGCCTATGAAGGAGCATAATCTTGAAAGAAAATTTTCTAATATTTGGATTCATAGCATCAAGGTGATTAAGCAGGAGTTTAGTAAAACCTGAACTCCATCATTCTTCTGTTTTCTTCGTTTCAAAGATGCTTGTGCTTGCAACTGAAACTCGCGAGCAGCATTAAGTATTTCTGCAAAAAATTTCCTCTTTTTGGTCTCCATGCGATTCTTTTCTTCCTCTTCAAGCCTAGAAAGCCTCTGGAAACAAAAGCAGTGCAACGAGAAACATCTTAGGTTGACCACACAAATGACTAAATTGCAATAAGAATTACAAAGAACAACATAGGACCTCAGCATCTCTTTTTTTCCTTTGACGATCATCAACTTCCATTGCATAAGTATCTCCGATGCCATACATACTAAAAGGATGTCGCAAACGCATCATTCCCCAGTCAAACAACTGCCTTTCAGGATATGCACATTTTTCATGTAACCAGTGCTCTGCACTAACATCAGCGCGCACCTTTCTCTGTAATTGTACCAACTGAAACAACAAAAGAGTTCTCCATAAGCTATGTTTTGTAGCTTTGAGACAAAATAGAAGAAAAAAAGCAAGAAAGAGTAATGATAGTAGTATTATTAGTAAGAGTACAATGTAGAAGAAAAAGGTATATTCATCACAATAAAATAAAGGATATGGAGAGTAATGTAGACTTACGTTTTAATCAAATGGAAAAAAATAAGGGAGTTCATCGAATGGTCTGACAAAAAAAAAAAAAAGAGAAATCAAATTTTTCTACCAGATGTAGCTATGTACAGACCTCAGAAATGATAAAAACATTTTTCTAGCAGGCAGCATTAGGATAAATGGAAGAGAAAATTGAAAATTCCAATAAGAATATTTAATATTTCCATTTGTGAAATTTCACTAAATCTCACATTCGCTAAAAGGTTATTGATGCATGCCAGAAGATTCGCGATGGTAGAATAATATATTATCTTTTTAGTGTTATATGAAGATTCAACACATACTCAGATGAAAAAAAAAACTAGTAGAGATACTAGAAGTTTTCACAGGGAAAACCCAAAAAAAGAAAAAACCCTGGAGACTAACCTAATTGAGAAAATCCAGTATAAATTGGAGGTTACACGTACAATCTTTTGTCTCAGAGGCAAGAAAGATTTTTGCAATTTTTTGATTTACAACGTCGATGCACAAATGATCCTTTCACTAGGAATGGGCAGCAACTGATGGTGATCGGAGGCAGGCTAGAAGTGGTTGACGGTGGTCGGTGGTGATTGATGGGTACAGGAATAATGTTGGACTTCTGCTCTCTCTCCTAGCTTCAAGCTCACTCTTCAGGATTCAAACTCTCCTCCCCCTCGTTAGAGGGATGGGATTCTATTTATAGAGTCCAGGTCGCAATTAATTAAAGAACATAAACAACTACGATAGGACGACTCAGAAAGGTTCCCTCGATGAAATGAAATTTGATGGACATTTGAGAGCCACAACAAAGTTGGAATTGAGCGATCTTAGCCTCGTTAGATTCGTCTTGTCGAGATGCTCGAGTCGATCATGAGACCATCAGATTCGACATCTGTTTGACCTTCCAAATATGCCCAAAAAACTTACAAAAGTGATTTAATGGCTTCATCTGAGTTTGATTTGACTCATATTGGATCGATTTTGGTATCGTTGACCCTGTCTCGTCGAGTCGGTCAGTTTGACTATAAGTTTGTTGAAATCAGAGCTCTAAATAACTTTTAATCAAAGTTTGAATATTGTTTGCTCAAAAGATTGCCTTGAGAATTGTGTTATGCCTCGAGATTCATGTTGGATGTTGGAAATTTGTTGATGGCGTCTCAATTATAAAGCTTGATAACCTTAATAATTAAGAGGTTGTTTAGATTAAAAAAGTTCAAAGTTCAAAGTAAAATAGATAGTATTCTAAATATTCAAGAGTGTTTAGTTGTATTTAAAGTAAATGTAGTGTTTTGTTACCATTAAGATATAGTGGTAAGATTGCACCTTATTGTTTTTTACATTGAAAGAAAACACAAGAGATCAAGAAATCATTTTTGGTCAATCTTTGAAGATGGATAAATGAAAATAGTTTCAAATAGTTTTATTTGAGGAAAATTTTGATTAATCCATTTAAAAAATACAATCCTCATTAGAACTTCGAAACTCATAAACAATTACACCCATACATATAATCAGCAAATCATTACGTCGACAAACAACCATAACATAAATAAAATTTATCAAAACAATATAATGTTTCTTTGCAAAAACTCAACAATGCTTATCAAAACCACTGGGCTCATTAATAAGAGCATGTATCAAAACTTTTTATCACCTTTCCACAAAAAAAACATTTGATAGTTCTCTAAGCATGCTTTACTTCAAAATAATTTTATCTATAAATTATTGTGATAATGCTTATATTATGCTTTCGATTAATGCTGAATATTTAATTTAGAAGATGAAAATCTCAATGCAGTTTTTTGAAGATTAAATCGAAATATGAACCATTTTATGAGAAAATAAAATTATTCTTTTTTTTTTCTAGCAGACACAACACAATCAACCTCTCCAAGTAACGAATGTATAAAATGAAGTACAGTTTTAAAAATATAAATATCATAACTATGATTGCAATAATTGAGAACGACGAGAGGCCAACGTTCAAACCAAACTGCTGATGGAAGCTATGTTTCGATTCCGACTGAGGTTAACAATTGAAAAGAGGGCTAGATTAGTGGGTAAGAGGCGGATGACCACAGGCTGATGCTGGCGTGAGGGAGCAGAGAGGCTTGAGGGGGAAAAAAATTGCAAATACACAAAAGAGGAACATAACCATACGATTTAAGTTTTGTTCAACTTGAATTTTACTAGATTGAATTTTACTAGATTGAATTTTACTAAAGAGTAGAGGTTTACTAGCATTTGAGCCATTTACTAGATTAAAGTTTTAATTGTATGTACCTATTTTTTTAGTATAGATGTTTGCAACTGAATTGCTTCCTCAATCATTTGTTTACAGAAAAATTAGTTTTTTTGAGAAAAAATCTAACTTTGTGCATGTCATCCGTGAATTCATTTGTCAATCAACAAATTAAGCCTTTACTTGGTAATATTATGTTGTTTTTTGTTAATGCTACTTGATGTGAAAAAAATATAATCGCTATTAGCAAACTTAAGAGGAAGCTGCTATACAATTTTTAAGCATCTAAAGACCACCAGTTAATTCTGGTTGATTTTCTTGTAATTTATTTCTCAGTTATATATTGACTTAATTGTATTAAAGATAAAGATAATCATATCCATATTTTAAGCCATAACGATAAGGATTATATCATCAGTATCTTAAGATTTCTTTCCTTTTAAAAAAAGAGTTAGTTGTATTGACTTTTTATTATTACAAGTTAATTATGAATAAAACTTTGATTACTTCTTCCCCAATGATCCAAGTTGCTTATGTGGGTTGATCCACGTTGTAAGTGTGGAATTACCTTTTGATCTTTTCTCCTCTTTTCATTTTGAGATGCTTAAGTCCCCATCAATTATTAAAGAGAGGCAATATATATATACTTACAACGTGCATCAACCCACACTTTATATATATATATATATATATATATATCTTTAGGAAAAAGAGCAACGGTGGCTCCTTACGCGTTAATTAAAAGAAAAAGTAAATGGAGGGGGGGAGGATCCCCTTCTAAGAAACCAAAAATACATCTAAACACACAAACACACCCCTAGGGGTTCCTGGGTTCCTCTCCCCACAATACAACTCACACAAAAAGAAATTTCCAAAATTACAGTTATACCCAAAACCAAATAGCAAAAACTCAAAAAAAAAGTAAACATGTGATCTAGTATATCTAGAGAAGTGACTAAAAAAGAGATGTACAAAAAAAATCTTCCGATTAGCAATGATTATCCAAAATCAATCTCACGAGCAGACCAAAGAACTGGCATGCCGCAATCCAAAGAGATCGAAAACAACTCTCCCCAAAAGTCCAAAGCTTGAGACGATCAGATTCTCAACCTGCATCCTAAAAGGACTCTCCTGAGGAGAACTTCTCGACAATGGCATTCATCTTACTCCGTGACATGTTCCTTAATCCAGAATGGAAGCCAACAAGGAAATCACATTTCAAAATTTTAGAGACTTCAAGCTTTTAAGAATACATGCAAGTGCTCTTGCAACAATAATTCTTTTCACAAATACTATGCATTTAGTGTTCTCTTTTAACAGTGAAAGCAATGTGTCAATAGGCTCACTAAGGATCTGTTGGGGGCAGCTGTAGTTGTCTGAAGTAGATGTGAAACAAAATCGCAGAAAAGAGTAGCTAGTGACGAGCCAATTTAGTCATGCCTCTGTTTCTAGTTCTACGGCGAGATCTAGATAACAAATTGTTGAGTGTCGAGCCATTTCCCGAAGTAACCAAAGTATCATCCATTAGGTTCCCGAGCTGAAGTTTGCCTCCAATCTTCTTCTTCCTCCTTGAATAGACTTGACATTTCTCCTCAGAAGACTGACTCATCTGATCATCGTGTTGGTAAACAGAACGTCGGGCAGATAACAACTGATGAGCACTAGAAGAAGGATTGTTAACTGTTGCAATAGTTGTAGGTTCAAGTATGAGTGAAACATCAATCCTGCCCTCAGTCACATGCGTAAGGGAAGAATAAGGGGGGGCAGCAGCTGGTACAGACCTAGCAGCCGCACCATCAGGCCCCTGTTGTTGAATCCTCCCCTCCCTTTTTCCTTAAATCAGGATTAAACTTGAAACAGTGCTCTTGAACATGTCCAAACATCTGACAATGTTTACAATAGGAAAAGTGTTGCTCTAAACTTACCTTCTGCCAGTAACCTATATGCTCTTAACCGATCCAGACCTCATCCGGAAGAGGTAAAGTGACATCCCTTTCGATCAGAACTCTAGCTAAGGAGGGTTGAGTAAGGTTATAGGTAGGAGCATCTAATTTCAGCGGTCTCCCAAACATAACTGCTAAAGAGAAAAAAACCTCATGATTAAAAAGATGAACTTTCAAATAAGGGAACCTAATCCAGACAGAGATGACCGGAGCCTTTGCCTCGGGATCAAAACTAGAAGACCATTTTAGCACCTTCATCCCAACGTTCTCAAACCAGACCATACGCTTAGCAAACAGCCGAGTATAATCTTCCTCCTTCGCTAACTGAATCAAAATGTGCCCTCCATCCAGCGGATCAATTTTCCACTCTCCCGTGAGCTTCATCAGCTCAAAGTGTTGTCTAAGAAAATCTAGCTTAGGAATACCATAAATGAACTTTCCAACCCGATGTAAACGACAAGAAGAGGCAAGTTCAACATTCTCAGCATCAGTGAGGAAAAGAGCAAGCTTTCCCCCTTTCCGGCCGGGGCGGCGAACAAAAGAGGAGATAGAATCGAGCTCGAGATTTTCGTAGAAAACAGAAGGGAAGTTAGGAACACCATCAGCGGTGACGCTGGCGTAAAAGCGAGGCCTCCGACTCGCCTCACCAC